GACGAGGTCAGGAGATCGAGACCATCCTGGCTAACACAGTGAAACCCCGTCTCTACTAAAAAATACAAAAAAATTAGCCAGGCGTGGTGTGGGCTCCTGTAGTCCCAGCTACTTGGAAGGCTGAGGCAGGAGAATGGCGTGAACCCGAGAGGCAGAGCTTGCAGTGAGCCAAGATTGCGCCACTGCACTCCAGCCTGGGCGACAGAGCAAGGCTCTGTCTTAAAAAAAAAAAAAAAAAAAAAAAAAAAAAAAAAAGAAAAGAAAAAACAAACAACAGTATTTTGTGGAGATTGGGTCTTGCTGTGTTGCCCAGGCTAGTCTCAAACTCTTGGGCTCTGGCCAGGCACAGTGGCTCACGCCTGTAATCCCAGCACTTTGGGAGGTTGAGGTGGGCGGATCACCTGAGGTCAGGAGTTCGATACCAGCCTGGCCAACATGCTGAAACTCCGTCTCTACTAAAAATACAAAAATTAGCCAGGCATGGTGGTGCATGCCTATAATCCCAGCTACTCAGGAGGCTGAGGCAGGAGAATCGTTTAGCATGGGAGGCAGAGGTTGCAGTGAGCTGAGATTGTGCCACTGCACTCCAGCCTGGGTGACAGAGAGACTTCATCTCAAAAAAATTTTAAAAAGGCCAGGCATGGGCCGGGCGCGGTGGCTCAAGCCTGTAATCCCAGCACTTTGGGAGGCCGAGACGGGCGGATCATGAGGTCAGGAGATCGAGACCATCCTGGCTAACCCGGTGAAACCCCGTCTCTACTAAAAAATACAAAAAACTAGCCGGGTATGGTGGCGGGTGCCTGTAGTCCCAGCTACTTGGGAGGCTGAGGCAGGAGAATGGCGTGAACCCGGGAGGCAGAGCTTGCAGTGAGCTGAGATCTGGCCATTGCACTCCAGCCTGGGCGGCAGAGCGAGACTCCGTCTCAAAAAAAAAAAAAAAAAAAAAAAGGCCAGGCATGGTGTCTCACGCCTGTAATCCCAGCACTTTGGGAGGCCAAGGCAGGCAGATTGCCTGAGGTCAGGGGTTTGAGACCAGCCTGGCCAACATGGTGAAACCGTATCTCTACTAAACATACAAAAATTAGCCAGGCATAGTGGCATGTGCCCGTAGTCCTAGCTATTCAGGAGGCTGAGACAGGAGAATTGTTTGAACCCAGGAGGCAGAGGTTACATTGAGCCAAGACTACGCCATTACACTCCAGCCTGGGCGACAGAGTGAGACTCCATCTCAGAAAAAAGAAAACCTCCTGGGCTCAAGCTCCTGCCTTGGCGCTTGACAGGCTCTAAAGCATCATCCCAAAGGTTATTTGCTAACTAGAAAGGATAAATGTATTTTATGATGTACCCCTCACAATCTTTTGGACAGAGTCTCGCTCCATCATCCAGGCTGGAGTGCAGTGGCATGATCTCGACTCACTGCAACCTCTGCCTCCTGGATTCAAGCAATTCTCCTGCCTCAGCCTCATGAATAGCTGGGACTACAGGCGCGCACCACCATGCCTGGCTAATTTTTGTATTTTTAGTAAAGACGGGGTTTCACCATGTTGGCCAGGCTGGTCTTGAACTCCTGACCTCGTGATCCACCGGCCTCGGCCTCCCAAAGTGTTGGGGTTACAGGCGTGAGCCACTGCAGCTGGCCAAACCCTCACAATCTTAATCATGTGATGAAACTCTGCATTACCAATGGTGGGACATCCTGACACTGGGTGCCACCTGCTATAATGCATTAGGATTAGGAAGTAATTAGTAAGGATTAGGACATACCCTGTGGAGTCTACCTGTTCACTGCATAAGCAGAATCTCACCAGGCCTCTAGACCCAACCTCCAGCTTATTGGAAAAAGAGAGGAACAAATTAAACACAGTCAGACAAATCCAGAATGTGGGACACTATGCAGCATGACTAGGCTGTTTTGCCAGAAATTAGATGTCAAGAAAACACAAAAAACGATTTGAGGCTGAGTGTGGTGGCTCATGCCGGTAATCCCAGCACTTTGGGAGGCCAAAGCGGGTGGATCACCTGAGGTCAGGAGTTTGAGACCAGCCTGGCCAACATGGCATAATCCTGTCTCTACTGAAAACACAAAAAATTAGCCAGGCGTGGTGGCACACACCTGTAATCCCAGCTACTCGGGAGGCTGAGGCAGGAGAATCACTTTAACCTGGGAGGTGGAGGTTGCAATGAGCCAACTGCACTCAGCCTGGGCGACAGATTGAGACTTTGTCTCAAAAAAAAAAAAAAGGATTTGGGTGGGGGAATATTCGAGAATAAAATACAGTATGTAATTTCTTCATTACAACCAAATAAGCATGTGAACCTTCATTGGATCCTGATTTTGGAGAAAAGAAAGCAACTATAAAGGACATTCTCGGGTCAGTTGGAGAGAGTTGAATATAGACTAGATATTAGGTGGTATTGTGTAATTCTTGATTCTATTAGATGTGAAATAGTATTTTTTGTGGCTTGTACATGAATATCCTTATTATTATTATTTTTTTTTTTTGAGATGGAGTTTTCCTCTTATTGCCCAGGCTGGAGTGCAATGACGCGATCTCAGCTCACTGCAACCTACGCCTCCCAGGTTCAAGCGATTTTCCTGTCTCAGCCTCCTGAGTAGCTGGGATTACAGGCACATGCCACCATGCCCAGCTAATTTTTGTATTATTAGTAGAGACGGGGTTTCATCATATTGGTAAGGCTGGTCTCGAACTCCTGACCTTCGGTGATCCACTGGCCTCGGCTTCCCAAAGTGCTGGGATTACAGGTGTAAGCCAAAGCACAGGGTCTGATGTCCTTATTCTTAAGAGATGCCTGCTGAGCTCTTAAGGGTAGAATATCAAGATGCTTGCAACTTACTCACCAAAGGTTTAGCAAAAGAAACAATATATATACATATGCAGATAAAGGCAACTTCACACAATGTTACCAACTATTACTTTTTCTTTCTTTCTTTCTTTCTTTTTTTTTATTTGATACAGGGTCTTGTTCTGTTACCCAGACTAGAGTGCAGTGGCATGAACATGGCTCACTGCAGCCTTGACCTCCTGGTCTCAAGGAATCCTCCCACCTCAGCCCCCCCAGCAGCTGGGACCACAAGAACATGCTACCACACCTGGCTAATTCTTTTTTTTTTTTTTTGAGACAGAGTCTTGCTCTGTTGCCCAGTCTGCAGTGCAGTGGTGCTGTCTTGGATCACTGCAACCTCCGCCTCCTTGGTTCAAGAGATTCTCCTGCTTTAGCCTCCTGAGTAGCTGGGATTACAGGTGCCTGCCACCTCGCCTGGCTAATTTTTTGTATTTTTAGTAGAGACAGGGTTTCACCATGTTGGCCAGGCTGGTCTCAAACTCCCGACCTCGTGATCCGCCTACCTCCGTCTCCCAAAGTGCTGGGATTACAGGCATGAGCCACCACACCCAGCCCATGCCTGGTTAATTCTTAAATTTTTTGTAGTGAGGAGATCTCACTATGTTGCCCAGGCTGATCTTGAACTCCTGGACTCAAGTGACCCTCCTGCCTTGGCCTCCCAAAGTACTGGGATTACAGTTGTTGCCTGGCCAACAACTATCAATTAAATCTAGGTGAGAGAGTATTCAGGTGTGAGCCACTGCATCCAGCCAAGGGAGGAGTATTATACCCTGTCTACCTCTAGCCCCATCCTGCATGTCTATTCATCTTGAACTAAAAGCTTGTCTTATTACAACAGCTATTACTGCTAACAAGGAAACGTGTTGCTAACCAGGCACGGTGGCATGTGCCTGTAGTCCCACCTGCTTGGGGGTCTGAGGCAGGAGGATGGCTTGAACCCTGGAGGTCTAGGCTGTAGTGAGTTGAGATGGCACCCCTACACTCCAACCTGGGTGACAGAGCGAGACCCTGTCTCAAAAACAAAATAAAATAAAATAAAAAGTAAAGAAAAAAAAAAGGCAGCTGGGCGCGGCATCTCAGGCCTCTAATCCCAGTACTCTGAGAGGGCGGATTACCTTAGGTGAGGAATTTGAGATCTGCCTGGCCAACGAGGTGAAAACCCACCTCTACTAAAAATACAAAAATTAGCCGGGTATGGTGGCACACCCCTGTATTCCCAGCTACTCAGGAGGCTGAGGCAGGATGATTGCTTGAACCTGGGAGGCGGAGGTTACAGTGAACTGAGATCGTGCCACTGCACTCCAGCCTGGGCGACGGAGTGAGAATCTGTCTTAAATAAATAAATAAATAAATAAATAAATAAATAAATAAAATGAAAAAAACCACAAAACACATTGCACCCCACTCTGAGGATTTTGCATGAATTGTTTTATTTAATCCTTAAAACAATCCTCTAAACTAGGGGCTATTTTCTCTCATGTTAAAGGAGAAAAAGACCCGAAGGGATTAAAACACTTGCCCCAGGTCACACAGCTGCTTAGGGAATGGAGCCCGGGATGTGATTCCGCACTCCCACCTCACTGCCGCCCTTAACCACAATTAAGTCCAACTGTCCAGCATTGCTTGAGTGTGGTATTGTGTTCTTATAGATACGATCCTATTTAAACTTTCTTGTCAAGAGGTATGCAAGACGATCCCCATTTAACTTTGTGTAGCTTGAAGAGGTTGATCATTTTTCCAAGGTCACGCATCGAGTGAGTGGGGAATCAGGAGTCGGAATTTGAACCCGGGCATATCTGTAGTGTAGACCACTGTCGGGGGTGGATGTGTAAGAAGCTTAATTGCCGGGTTTGGCAGGTGCATGGGTAGTTGTGAGGGGCTCGTACTTTGAGAGGCAAAAGCTCCCACTCGCCACCGTCCCCCAGAGTAAAAAGCCACCTCTTTCCACCCCTCACTCGCGCAGCTGCCCGGGCATGCGCCCAGAAGCCCCTCCTTCAGAATCCGCCCTTTATAGGCTCCGCCCATCACCGTAGAGGGCCAATCCCTGGGGCGGAGGGCGGGGCAGCCACGAGAGTGGGCGGTCGCTAAGGGTAGTTAGGAGTCTGGAGTCGTGAGCCGAAGTCAGAACTGCGTCTCGCGACCCAGGCGCCGGTTGCTGGAGGAGAGCGAGCAAGCGATGCTGCCGCTGCCGTTTCCTGATTGGTTGTGGGTGGCTACCTCTTCGTTCTGATTGGCCGCTAGTGAGCAGGGTATGTAAATGAAGGGGCCTGGGAAGAAAAGGGGTACCAGCGGCCGGGTCCTTCACGGAGTTCGATCCCTGGGTCCGACAGGTGCCCGCCGGGGCTGCCCGGGATCGAGACGCGCGGGCCTCTACGTGCTGTCTGCCCCGGCCGGGCCGGGTGAATCACGCCGCAGTCCGAGAAGGGGGCGGAGGCGCCGGCTCCTTGGCTCCGGCTGCGTGACTCACCCGCCCCCGCCGCCGCCGCTTCGGGAGGAGCCGCCTCCACTGCCGGAAGCGAGCGGAGGCCGGGCGCAGAGAACAGCCCGCCTAGGGTCCTGGCTCTCACGGCGCCGGGAGGCCTGCAGGAATCACAGCCGGGAAGGGGGGCAGTAGAAGGGGTTCTGGGGTCAGAGGGGCCAGAATCCCCAGGGGAAAGCCGGCCTGGGCACCGCCAGGGGGCGCCGGGACTCGGGGGCGGAGTCGGGGGTGGGGGCGGAATTCCTGCGGTTCCGGACTCCACGGACTGCGGGGAAGGGGACGAAGACCCAGTTTTGAGTAGTGTGGTGGGCCACTCTTAAAATCTTGCTAGGCAGGGTCCCGGAACTGGACTCTAAAGTCTTCCTGGCCCAAAAAAGTAGGTAGCGCCAGGGGTCCAAAACTCCATCCAGCCCTACCCCCGCCACTCCAAGAAAAGAGTGGACCCTCAAACTTATCTCAGTGACTGACCCCGGTGCCGATCACGATTTCTCGACAAGCCCTGTCTATTCTGCCTCCCAAAGAAATCCTGACTCGACCGACTTCCTTCCATACCCACTACCAGCTCCTGCTCCAGGCCATCACTATCGTCAGTCCCAAACCAGTACAGCCTACTAGTGGGTCTCAGATCCCCCCTCTTTTTGCCCCCTACAGTATTCCTCGAAGCAGCCATGGGGGGGATCTTCCGGAAACCTAATCAGCTCACACCCCCATTCCCTCCGTGCTCAAATTCCTTTAATGACTGCCCACCACACTCAGGATAAAATCCAAACTCCCTACTAATGCATATGTGGTTTTCTGTGACCTGGCTTGTGCCCATTCCCCCAGCCTCTGGGCTTTTCTTTGCCTTTTTTTGTTGTTCCCTCCTCCCGGAATGCTTTTCCCAGGGTCTCCCATGGCCGACTTCTCTGGCCTGAGGGCTCCATTCAAATGTCACCTCCTTACAGGAGCCTTCTCTGATCATCTAAAAGGTCTCCAGGACCTTTTAGTGTCTTCCTGTAATTCTCCGTACATTTCCTGTGTTTGCTTATTTATTTACTGTTTGAAACGTCATAGTAGACAATAAGTGTTAAACTATGTGAAACTAGTTTAGTATTTATAATATAACTTACTTAGATATAATTATTTATAACGTTATTATAATATATGAAACAGCTGCTTTTGTAGGGGAAAAAGTTGAATGGTCATTCCACATGGTTCACTGAAGAAATAATAATGTTATCATTAAGTGTACTTATTGGCAGGGCATGGCAGCTCACACTTATAATCCCAGTACTTTGGGAGGCTGAGGCGGGAGGATGGCTTAAGGCAAAGAGTTTGAGACCACCCTGGGTAACATAGTAAGACTTTGTCTCTACAAAAAATAAAAGGGGGGAAAAAAAGAGTGTTTATTGATTGAGGGGGGAGGATCACTTCAGGCCAGGGGGTTTGAGACCAGCCTGGGCAATATAGTGAGACCCCATCTCTTTTTTCAGATTAAAAAGTCTATAAATATACTTAAATACAAAATTTAAAATTTAAGGCCGGGCGCGGTGGCTCATGCCTGTAATCCCAGCACTTTGTGAGGCCGAGATGGGTGGATCATGAGGTCAGGAGATCGAGACCATCCTGGCTAACATGGTGAAACCCCATCTTTACTAAAAATACAAAAATTAGCCGGGCGTGGTGGCGGGCGCCTGTAGTCCCAGCTATGTGGGAGGCTGAGGCAGGAGAATGGGGTGAACCCAGGAGGCGGAGCGTGCAGTGAGCCGAGATCGAGCCACTGCACTCCAGCCTGGGCAACAGAGAGAGAGACTGTCTCAAAAAAAAAAAAAAATTTCTTTTAAAGTCTATAGGCTGGGTGTGGTGGCTCACACCTGTAATCCCAGCACTTTGGGAACCAGAGGTGGGCGGATTACTTAAGGTCCAGGAGGTCGAGACCAGGCTGGCCAACATGGTGAAACCCCGCCCCTACTAAAAATATAAAAATTAGCCAGATATGGTGGCGTGCGCCTGCAATCCTAGCTTTTGGGGAGGCTGAGGCACGAGAAACACTTGAACCCGTGAGGCAGAGGTTGCAATGAGCTGAGATCACGGCATTGCACTCCAGCCTGAGCAACAGAGCGAGACTCTATCTCAAAATAATAATAATAATTTATAAATATACATATGCAATTAAATAAAAATTATCTATATCTTTAAAGTTCCCTAGGAAAAGCTAGACACAGAGAGGTTAAGTGACTTGCCCAAGATCCTACCTGTAGCAACTGTCAGATCCAGGCTTTGAACTGAACATTTGTTTTCTATAACTGACTATAACTCCATAACTCCCTGCCCTCTGCAGATGCTGAGCAAGGGTCTGAAGCGGAAACGGGAGGAGGAGGAGGAGAAGGAACCTCTGGCAGTCGACGCCTGGTGGCTGGATCCTGGCCACGCATCGGTGGCACAGGCACCCCCAGCTGTGGCCTCTAGCTCCCTCTTTGACCTCTCGGTGCTCAAGCTCCACCACAGCCTGCAGCAGAGTGAGCCGGACCTGCGGCACCTGGTGCTGGTGGTGAACACTCTGCGACGCATCCAGGCGTCCATGGCCCCCGCGGCTGCTCTGCCACCTGTGCCCAGCCCACCTGCTGCCCCCAGTGTGGCCGACAACCTACTGGCAAGCTCAGACGCTGCCCTCTCAGCCTCCATGGCCAGCCTCCTGGAGGACCTCAGCCACATTGAGGGCCTGAGTCAGGCTCCCCAACCCCTAGCAGACGAGGGGCCACCAGGCCGTAGCATCGGGGGAGCTGCGCCCAGCCTGGGTGCCTTGGACCTGCTGGGCCCAGCCACTGGCTGTCTACTGGACGATGGGCTCGAGGGCCTGTTTGAGGATATTGACACCTCTATGTATGACAATGAACTTTGGGCACCAGCCTCTGAGGGCCTCAAACCAGGTCCTGAGGATGGGCCGGGCAAAGAGGAAGCTCCGGAGCTGGACGAGGCCGAACTGGACTACCTCATGGACGTGCTGGTGGGCACACAGGCACTGGAGCGGCCGCCGGGGCCAGGGCGCTGAGCCCTTGTGCTGGGATGGTTTTCTGGTGTCTGAACTGAGCTTGCTGGCTGGACCAACTGTCCTCGAAAAGACACAGCTGGCTTCCCTAGTACAGAGAACAGGGCTTGGGCCACTTTGGAGAGACAGAATCCAGTCCCGGGCAACTTCTCATCCGTCCTCCTGTCTCAGGGCTTGCGGGGGAGCCTGGGATTACCCCCTAGTGATGGAATGACAGGGTCTGGTGGCGGACTGAATCCCCTGGCCCTGGGGTCATAGATTGGGCTGTTCCTTCTCTGATATGGGAAGAGACCCCAATCAGATTTTTCAAATTAAAACCAGTCCTGGGAAATCTCAAATCTGTGTGCTTCTTTGTCTCTGGGCAAATGTGAAGGCGAGATAAAAACATCAAACATTTTATTGGGCGTAGACCATGTACCAGGCACAGTTCTAAGTACTTGACTGTGTTAAGTCATTTAATCCTATAACAGCCCTACAAGATCGGTAGTATTATTATCATCCCCATTTTACAGGTGAGAAAACCGAGACTCCAAGATCATCACTTGAGGTAGGTTTTAAATTATGAACTTACTTTTCTTTTTTTTTTTTGAAATAGGGTCTTGCTCTGTCGCCCAGGTTGAAGTACAGTGGTCCGATCATGGCTCACTACAGCCTCAAACCCCTGGGCTCAAGCAATCCTCCTACCAGGCCACTTTTTTTTTTTTTTTTTTTTTTGAGACGGAGTCTTGCTCTGTTGCCCAGGCTGGAGTGCAGTGGCTCGATCTCGGCTCACTGCACGCTCCGCCTCCTGGGTTCACCCCATTCTCCTGCCTCAGACTCCCAAGTAGCTGGGACTACAGGTGCCCGCCACCATACCTGGCTAATTTTTTGTATTTTTAGTAGAGACAGGGTTTTAGTAGACCCGGGGTAAGACGATGGTGTTAGCCAGGATAGGATGGTCTCGATCTCCTGAATTCATGATCCGCCCGCCTTGGCCTCCCAAAGTGCTGGGATTACAGGCATGAGCCACGGCACCCAGGCTTTTTTTTTTTTTTTTTTTTTTGAGACAAAGTCTTACTCTGTCATCCAGGCTGGAATGCAGTGGCGTGACCTTGGCTCACTGCAACCTCCACCTCCTGGGTTTAAACGATTCTCCTGCCTAGGCCTCCCGATTAGCTGGGACCAGCTAATTTTTTATATTTTTTTGTAGAGACAGGGTTTCACCGTGTTAGCCAGGATGGTCTCGATCTCCTGTCTCAGCCTCCCAAAGTGTTGGGATTACAGGCGTGAGCCACCGTACCCGGCCTTTTTTTTTTCTTAAATTTTATTTATTTTCCTTGCTAGCAGGAAGTCAAGGCCACTTTTTAAAAATGAAAGCAAGTCCTCGCATGGAATCTACCTGTATTTATTGAGGAGAGAAGGGGAGGTTGCTTTCAGAATGGTCCGGAAATAAAAACACAAAACCTGGATCCTGGACAGATCCTCTCCAAGGAGCCCTGAGAGTGGCTCTCCAGGAAAATGAGGAAGGAAAGGGGGACAACAGCCCATTTTTAAAAACAAAATCCACTCCCAGTCTCAAATCTCTGTTTGGGCAAAGGCTAGGGCCGCTTGGAGGCTGTGTCTGAAATAAAGCCACTAGGCTTAGTAGCTGGACTGCAGAGAGGGCGCTCAGGGCAGGCAGCTGTGCCTTCCTTCTAGAAGAAACCCAGACCCGAGCGAGCTGGGGCCATCTGCCCGTGTGCTGGGCCTGGCTGGAGCGCCGGGTGTCAGCGGCCGCCCCCGCGGTCCAGCCGCATTCCAGGCCTGGCTGGGAGGGGCCGCACACTCAGAGGCCTGGCACGGGACCCAGGCTGCGTCCTTCCTGACGGCCGCAGGGACAGGGCGGAGCCTGGGGTGGGTGCACGGAGGGGAGGGAGTGTCACGGTGAAAACTGCGGGTGCGCTTGCAGAGAGGCGCAGGGGGCTGGACGGTGACCCGAGGGGCAGAACGGTGACCTGAGGGGCCAGCAGGGCCTTGAGTGAGGGAAACGCCGCCATCGTGGGGTCCCAGAGCCTCGCCTCTGGCCAGAAGCCTCGGGGAGGCAGAGGCGGGGTGGAGCTGGGCCAGACGAGGAGCCCGGGTCGGCCCCAGGGTCCGGGAAGGGGCGGGCAGAGTGGCGCTTCCTGGAGGAGCAGAGGAAGTTGTGCCCATTTCTGGAAGTGGATGAGGCGGGCCGCGGAAGGGGCTGAAAATGGTCTGCGGGGAGCTGGCGTCCAGGCTGAGGGTCTTCCAGGCGCCTGACTCCAACCCCTAATGACTCCAGCCCCTGGGCAAATGGGACTCTGACTGCTTTACCGCAGATTCAAAACTTGGGCGCCTGGGCTGAGCTCAGCACCGCCCCCTGGTGCCTAATAGGGCTCTGCGCTGCCGCCTTCTTCGTTCCCTGGACATCTGTCCAGCGGTCGAGGGATCATGAACGCCCTCTGTTTACAACGGTCTGTGGGCCTCTTTTCTCTCCTCTCCTCCCCTCTCCCCTCTCCCCTCTCCCCTCTCCCCTCTCCTCTCTCCCCTCTCCCCTCTCCCCTCTCCCCTCTCCCCTCTCCCCTCTCCCCTCTCCTCTCTTCTCTCTTCTCTTCGATGGAATCTCGCCCAGGCTGGACAGTGCGGTGGCGCGATCATAGCTCACTACAGCCTCGAATTCCTGGGCTTCAGCGATCCTCCCGCCTCAGCCTCCCGATTAGCAGGGGTTACAGGTGCGTGCCACCATGCCCAGCTGATTTTTATTTTTATATTTATTTATTTATTTTGAGACTGATTCTCGCTCTGTTGCCCAGGCTGGAGTGCAATGGCGCAATCTTGGCTCACTGCAGCTCCCGCCTCCTGGGTTCAAGCAATTCTGCCTCAGTCTCCCGAGTAGCTGGGATTACAGGTGCCCGCCACCATGCCCGGCTAATTTTTTGTGTTTTTAGTAGAGACAGGGTTTCACCATGTTTGCCAGGCTAGTCTTGAACTCCCGATCTCAAGTGATCCTCCCTGCCTCGGTCTCCCAAAGTGCTGGGATTACAGGCGTGAGCCCCTGCGCCCGGCCGAGTTTTAAAAATTTTTGTAGAGACAGTGTTGCCCTGTGTTGTCCAGGCTGGTCTTGAACCCCTAGGCTCAAGCAGTCCTTCCATCTCAGCCTCCCAAAGTGCTGGGATTCCCATGGGCCTGTTTCTTATTATTTCCTTTAACCCCTTTTTCAAAGAGATTGGGTCTCACTATGTTGCCCAGGCTGGAGAGCAGCGTCTGTACAGAGGAGTGATCATAGTGCTGTACAGCCTTGAACTTCTGGGCTCAAGGGATCCTCTGGCCTCAGCCCTCGGAGTAGCTGGGACTACGGGCACAAACCACGATGCCCAGCTAAGGACCTGTTTCTGATGTCTCCAAGGCCCAATATGCAGTGAACTGATCCTTCCGTCTGCCCCTGTGCCTGCTTTGCCAGTGATGGCCCCTCTCCCCAGAGCCTCTAGGTACAGTTGCATAGGCTGTGCACTGCATTTAGACTCTATATGTAGGGGGCTGCCACACATGTTCCAGGTACCCTGCATTGACATATTTATTACAAGTTTCCCAGCAGATGGAGGTCAAGTGCCTCCAGAAAGGGGCATGTCTTTCACACAAAAGTACCGTATGAGCTACATCAGCCCTGGTCCCATCTGCCTGGTGCCCTCAGGTTTATGAATGGCTCATGCGTGAGGACCTTCCCCTCTCTCCCCATATCTGACCCCCAGATGGGTTGTGCAGGCTCCCTGGCTCTGGTGTGCTGCTCCACCCTCAGGCTCAACCCCAGGAGGCCACACAACCTTGGCCAGCAGACTCCAGGGCCCACACCATTCCTAGCTGAGCCACCAGCCCTGGCGCTGCTGCCACCTTTCACAGAGCCTCTATGTATGCCCGCCATGGCACTCCCTAGGCCAGCTTTCCTCCATGGCATTCACAGGAATGTCCCCCAAACATACACATATACACACACACACACACTCACAATGACACATGGAAGAGCTGTGACCAGCTATCTGGTCTCCTTTTCCTCCCTCCCTTCTTCCTGTCCCTCGTTCAGCAAAAATGTATGAGCACACACCTACTGTGTGCCTATCCATATGTAAAGGGTAAATCTGAGCACATCTCTCCCCTGCCCCTGCGCCCTTATTACCGCAATTATCTGGGGTCTGAACTCTGTACCTTCCAAGGCTCACCTTCTATCTCTGTCCCTATTCGTTAAACACTTATTGGGCGGCCGGGCATGGTGGTTAATGCCTGTAATCCCAGCACTTTGGGAGGCCGAGGCAGGTGGATTACAAAGTCAAGAGATGGAGACCATCCTGGCCAACACTGTGAAACCCTGTCTCTACTAAAAAATACAAAAATTAGCTGGGCATGGTGGTGCGCACCTGTAGTCCCAGCTACTCAGGAAGCTGAGGCAGGAGAATCACTTGAACCCGGGATGCGGGGGTTGCAGTGAGCCGAGATCGCGCCGCTGCACTCCAGCCTGGTGACAGAGCGAGACTCCATCTCAAAAAAACCAAACAAAACAAAATTTTTAAAACAATTATTGAGCACCTATGGTATGCAGTCCTAGCACATTGCAGAAATCTAACTGCAGTTAGATTTACTGAAGCAGTAAGCTGGTGAGAAGAGTTTGTTCCTGAAAGCCAGACTGGCTGGGTTTGAACCCCAGCTTTGGCCAGATGTGATGGCTCATGCCTGTAGTCCCAGCTACTCAGGAGGCTGAGGTGGGAAGATCACTTGAGGCCAGGAGTTAAAGGCTGCAATGAACCATGATTGTACCACTGCACTCCAGCCTGGGAGACATAACAAGACCCTGTCAGAAAGAAAGAAGGAAGGAAGGAAGGAAGGAAGGAAGGAAGGAAGGAAGGAAGGAAGGAAGGAAGGAAGGAAAAGAGAGAGAGGAAGGAAGGAAGGAAGGAAAAGAGAGAGAGGAAGGAAGGAAGGAGGGAAAAGAGAGAGAGGAAGGAAGGAAGGAAGGAAGGAAGGAAAGAAGGAAGGAAAAGAGAGAGGAAGGAAGGAAGGAAAGAAGGAAGGAAGGAAGAAAGAGAGAGAGGAAGTAAGGAAGGAAGAAATAAAGGAAGGAGAGAGAAAGAAGAAAAAAGGAAGGGAAAGAAAGAAAAGAAAAGAAAAGAGTTGCCCCTCTGTGGCTGTGTGACTCTAGGCAAGGTACTTAACTTCTCTGAGCCTCGGAGTCCTCACCTATAAACTGAAACAGTAACAGTATCTGAACAGTATCTGAACAGTAACCCCAAAGAACTATTGTTCTGGTGGGCAAGGAAACAGCAAGGGTCACTGAGAGAGAGACCCTACAACATTTTCGG